TTGTGTTAATAAACATACAACTGTTTATTGTTAGTTCAGCTCCATATGAACAAATAGAACTTTTGGTTTTAAGAATGTATTTGAAATAAACATTGACTAAGATTGACATGTTTTAGAGGTATTTTTCATTGTTCAGTAGTTCCTTCTGAATGTGGGTCAAAGACGTTAAGATGTCCGCATCAAAAGAAATGTACAAAAGTGATTTTATGTCCATAGAAAGCACATTAGATGTAAGTAAAGTGTCTACTTTTAAGGTTTCAAATAAGTTTTTGGAGAATAAAATGTCAAAATTTGGTTGAAATAAAGTTACATTGTCATTCTGTGTAACACAATATTTATGTAAAAATTTAAACAACATGCTTATTCTGACGTGTACATATTAAAATATATAAAAGAATAAGTGAGCATATTAAATTTGATTGTGTTTTAAATGAGTAAAAAATTATTACGGACAAATGGGCAAAACCTAGGATAGTGGCACATTTTAAAAATGTAAAATTACAACTAATTAGTATTTGGGGTGAAGGTAAATAATCTTTTAATATGTCATAAATTGATTTTTGTTGTAAATATGCCTGACAAGATTGCTACACTGAATGACATTTTAGTGGGTCTCTTCTGTAAATCAGGGGAAAATGTATGATATTTAATTTTGTGCTTAGAAAAATTAAAACAAAATTGCAATTAAATTTAAAAAAAAAAAAATTTGAGGGGGGGACAACAATTTAAAGCAGTATTACACTTATTGTTTTTATGCTTAAACCCTTTTCATCTTTGACCCATGTAAAACCATTCAACATTTTTGCTAATTGAAATAAGATATGTAAATATTAGATGAAAAACTTACTTATTTCAGTTTGTAATTTTCATTTAGCTTAAGTTTTTTAAACTGTAAAATGACTGAACAAAAATAAATGGAAAGAGAATAAAAACTAAAACTGAAATAATAGTGATATTTAAAACAAAGAAAAAAATAATAAAAATGACAGGAGCACATAAAATGACAAAAAATTTAACAAATGAAAATTAAAAGTATTTTGTATTGATTTTAAAAATACTAGTAAATTTGGAAGTGAACTAAGATTAATAAACACTGTAGAAACATAGTATTTTTCCCTTGGAAATACAATCCTTAAAATGTAGTCCAAGTCTTTAGGTTCAATAATGCTACAGATTCCCCCAAATAATAATTGAGTTAAGTTTTTTACGCCCCTTCATACACTTTTCAACCCAACTTTGGGTCAAACATGGACTAACCCAGCTGTTCGGTTAAATTTTTTAATTAAATTTTGAACCCAACAGTTGGGTTAATCCATAT